CACGAAAAAAGACAAAAAGGGGGAAAAAAAAAAAAAAAAAAAAGAAATGAGAGAAGATGAGCAAATTCTATCTTAAATTCTTTGTCAGCAGATCTCAGTAGTATACATTTCGATTTCTATTTGAAATCCAATTCTGCACCCTTATTCTCCAGATATGAAGCTGTGTGAGTCTTTGGTTCTTTCATTTCAAATCTGTAGATAGGCATAAGTGGTCTGTTTAACAGGCCCTTTTTTTTTATGTGTTGTATCTTTGACCTTTGCTTCAGATAGCATTCAACAGTCTTTAACAGAGGGAGACCATGAAACGGATGGTGTAAAGGCTTTATTCTATAAAAGAAGTCACATAGGCAAAGCTTTATGTTTGCTAAGTGATTTAATTCTTATGCTCATACATGCAGAGATTGGCCATGGGCCAATAGTAACATGATGGAAAAGCATTACTAGTACAGTTTCACAACCAAACTTCCACACTCCATTCTATATTTTTAGAGAGAGAGTGAGAGAGAGAGAACCTCCTTTCCTGTTTTAAAAATCTACCCAGGAAAAGTGAAGCATGTTATCTAGACTCAGTCACCTGCTCTATCAGGATTCATGAAATCAGTCATGGAAAAATTTTTTTTTTTTTTTAAAAATCAGCAACTAAGAAGCAGATTTTCCAGGGAGAAAGATGCCTGCTTAAATCAGTCTGAGTGCCCAGAGCAGAATTATGAAGGGAAAGCCCACTTATAGGAACAGCTACTAGTTTGGGAATACTGGTTATATTATGGCTATGAGATATTAAGTGATATTTATTCTAAGGTTATGCCTTTTTCTTGTAGGTTGTGAGTTAGGCAGACACCATCATTAGAAAGAACTGTTTATCTTTTGCATACCAAGTGATCTAATGTCTTTAGAGGAATGAGGAGTAAGCACATTTTTATTACCATTTTAAAAGCGTTGGAAATTGGCTAATGAAGTGTTGTTAGCTATTCTTTGAAAAGTACATTATGTCCTTTGTAGTTTTCTGATGGTATAGAGGACTTAAATTGATTGTTTCCTTCTTGTTGAGTCATAAGATATTCCTGAGCTTCATATTTGATGAATACTGACTTACTTTGCTAGATCTTTAAGTACCCTGGGATATTCTTGTGTAAGCTTGTGTATATGTATGCATATGGGAGTTTCTTTTCTTTTCTGCAAAGTTATTTAGTATATATGCTTGGTAATGTAAATTTCTGTTGCATTTTTAAAAACAATGCTTATCTTGTTTATATTATGATCACTATGGATTTTACTTAAGCTTTAATTAAACATCAAAATATTTGGACTTGCATCTCTGACAACCTTGGACTTAGTTAGGCTGAAGTTTCTTCTTTTCTTTTTTTTTTTTTTTTCCTTCCTTTTTGTCTTTTTTACTGACCAGCAACGGGATCGCAACGCTCGGTGTCGCGCCCGTACCAGGAACCGGCAACGGGATCGCAACCCTTGGTGTTGCACCCCCACCGCGCTCAGCCAGTGAGCGGGAACCCGTACCAGGAACCGGCAACGGGATCGCAACCCTCGGTGTTGCGCCCCCACCGCGCTCAGCCAGTGAGCGGGGACTGGTCTCCACATGGGATCCGAACCCTTGGCGGGAGCGCCACCGCACTCCCAAGCGGCACACTCTCCAGTGCGCCACCGGGCCGGCCCTGAAGTTTCTTCTTTTCAAGCAGTAAAATTTTTCAGCTTCTGTTAAGGAAGACCTGGAATTTACTGCCAGTGAGAGAAGAAAGCAGGCTTACTACAGAAGCAGCATCACTGGAGTCAGACCCAACATAGATGGTAGATTGTGGTGGTTAGGATCTGAAGGAATGAAGTGCGATGCCCAAGTGGATATCAGGTTATTTGGCAGACACATTTTGTGTGTGTGTGTGCGTGCAAATTTAGAATCAAACTTAGAGGTAGATATCATGGTACAGTGGGAAAAGTCTGGTTTTATAAAAATAAACCTGACTTACTCTCTGTAGACAATAACTTTAACTCTCTGAATTCTCTCAATAGTAAAATGAGGATTATGACCTCCAACTAATAGAATTAATAGTAGAATTAGGAAAATATGTATTTATTGACATAGGCCCTCAATAAATGGTGACTCATTGTTTTTATCATTATTTTCATCATCATCATCATCATCATTATTATTCCTGCTTTCAGATGCCTCCATTTTACATTTTCTGTAAAATTTTTTGTTAGCGAAGAAATTGCATAACCCAATATACTAAGCAGCTTTAAATAGGAATACAGAGTTTGACAGTTGATTTCTTAGGCTTTGAATTATGATAAGTATTTATTATTTACATGAACCTGGCTTTTTTTCCCTTCTGGACTGGTTTTGTTTGAGTAAAGCCCAATGAATATTCCTTGTAGAACTGTTTTTCTACTTTTCTACTCCTTTTTTTTGGCATTCCTGAGATATGACAAAAAACCAGAATAACTGGGAGAGAGAAGTAAAGTTCAACTCTAACTGCTCAAAATAGATTTTTAGGGACAGAGGTCAAAACTCTCATTATTAAGCCCAGTGAATGATGATTAACATAGAAGCATATATAACATAATGAAAAAAATAATCCTTAGTTTTGTACACTGTAAGTAGACGAACACACAAGGCTGAAAGTTGCTCTACTTCCATTCTGCAAAACTTAATTCAGAGTTTCAGTAACTCTCACATTTAGAACTTGATTTTAATACAGAAATATGAGAATAGGAGAAGTAGGGGATAACTAACTTTTATGCATAAAAGCTGTGTAAGTATTAGCAATTTTAGCTTGGGTTCCTGAACTAAAATTAACAACCTCACAGGGGCTCATTATTGGGAGCTGAATCTCTTAAAAATTATTTTGAAAAACAATTCTACCTTAAATTGTCTCCCATCTAGTATGACTGGTGCCAGAGTCTACTTGGATGAACTCTAAAAATCTGAGGTCCAGAATGAACACATAAAGAAAGGTCACACTGTTAGAAAAAAAGGGAAGGTACTTTAGCTTTTCTGGAAACCCTGGTAATTAGTATCGCCTTCATCTTTCTTTTCGCTCCCAATACTTAATTCTAAAATTCAGTTTGTGTATTTATTGAGTATTTATTCATCAAGCATTTATTAAGTACCTACAACAAACCAGACATTCTACCAGACACTGAGGCTTCCAAGGTGGCTAAGATATAGTCCCCGGACTCAGGAAACTTATTCAGTAAGATGTATGACATGAAAACAGTTAGTTACAGTACATTGTTCCTATACTTGTGATAGGTCTTGAATATGAGAACTGCATGATACTGCCTCAGGCCTTTTACAATCTAACTAGAAAAACAAGACTTAAATATTTGAAAGAATATAGAACAGATTACAATTAGGACCAGAATGTCCTATATAGAGAATGTGAAGTCAAGAAGCCAAAAAAATCTCTGTGGACCACTTAGAGAAAAGTGTTATGAAAAAGAGCCTTGAAAGTAGGAAGATTTCTTAGAGATGAAGAAGAGGAAAGACATTATAATAGGAATGGTAATAGAAGAGGTAACAATGCCAAGAGATATTTTGAAAGAAAATTTGATAGAAATTGGTGGTATATTGGATATGAGTGAGTGATCATAAGAGTATGGGACAGAGAGAGAGGAGTTGAAAATGTTTTACTTTAATGACTGGAGCGAGATCATATCATTAATACAATGGACATTTAAGAAAAGAAAATATCTAGGAAGAGATGATATACTAAATAAAACATTTTTCTTACTTTAGATTTTTAGTCTTTTTTGGGGAGGTTGACAGTCTAGAATTTTTATATGGATTTAATCCAGAAAGCAATAGTGATCTGCATTATAGTCATATTTCCTTAATTGTGAATTTTTGCTTATTTATCAGAACTGTGATTTAAATACATCCTAGACCCACAGTAGAGAATTATATCAAGTTTCTAGCACCTAAATGGATATTAGTTGTCACATTTATTAAGATCGCGGTCTTCATATTCTTCAGCCAGAAGCTAGGTTGGGTGAAGGCAAGGTGGTGTTTCTTCTCTTCTCCAGATTGGGATGGATGCCGGTGGAACTGTGGGATAATTCAGGAATGAGATACAGCAATGATACAAGTTGTATGCCCCAGCGCTTAGTAAACAAAGATTCCTAAGCATGGGGAACTTCTATTCTACATGGATTCTTTATCATTTAATTTAAATTAACCAAGTGCAGAGGATTAAATTGTCACAAATGATCACTATTAATACCATGTTAACTGAATTACATAATCATGAAGTTTTTTCAACTACCAATTCAAAATAAAAATCATTTTTAATGCTTCTAGTAACTAAAATCTTGTTGAAACTCTGTGATGCAGTAAGATTATCTATAATGGGGTGTTTGACAATAAGACTTTCAAACTGATTTACATTTGTTTACTGTCTTTGCTTTTATTTCCAGTTCTGGGAAATGCCAGTGCAAAATAGGTGTCACTGGTTCTACATGTGACCAATGTCAAGATGGATATTATGGCTTTAGTAAGAATGGCTGTTTGCCCTGCCGATGCAATAATCGGTCTGCCAGTTGTGATGCCGTCACAGGTACATACTTTTTAAAACTTTGTCTCGTAATTATTCTATTGTTCCCTTCATTTTGAAGTCTTTCAGCTATAGGTTGATTTTTCCCAAATAATTTGTAAGGGGCTTTCTCTTCTAAGTAGGATGTGATAGATCACAGCAAGCCAAACAGCTGCTATCACAATTTGAAAAAAAGTACACAAATTTTAAAAATCATATTGGTTGGAGAGCTATGGAAACAAGGAGAATTGTATGAACTAAAATTCCAAAGAGGGTAGAACTCTTCCTATGTAAGCTGATGATCACCACCCATTTTCTTTCCAGGGTACATTTGCTGATTCTGGGAACAGGCTAAGGAGCACTCTTGGCCCAAGCAAAGGAATTCTTCTGAGGAGCGAGATAAAAGAAGAGCTTTATGCAGTCATTTGGGGCTTGCATGATGGTTGGAAACTAGAGGAGCCCTAAACACTAGGCCAGTTTTCCCATAGGACATTAGCTGACTATGAAGGAGATGGAAGCCTGGGCCAGGTAGAAAAAAATCTCTTTCAGTCTTGTGCTAACTAGAAAAAAATCCCTTTAGAGAGAGAGGGCCTGCTACAACAAACAACTGTCTCTCTCTGAAGAATTGCCAGACTCTGAAGGTGCATGGAGTGAGACCTAGGCTCAAGTTACCAAAGGCCAGTACTGAATCTCTCACAGTCTCTTAGGTCTGAGGAGACACATGCATGCTAGGCTCTCAATCAAAAACCTTAGAGGTTTATGACCAAGAAATAGTGATGAACCACAGATGAACTGACTCATACTAAAATTGCAGTCCATCTTCAGCCCACCTCAATTTCTGGTTGGACTGAGGTGACCCTCTCATTATATCTGCCTAACAGAGGAAAAAGAGCCCTCTCTGGTTCTTTTACATACCATGTCTGGCATACAATAAAATACTAGACAATGCAGAGACAGGAAAATATGGCTAATAATAAAGAAAAAATAAACAATGGAAGCAGAACTACAGATCCAGATGTTAAAGTTAGCATACAAAGACTTCAAAATAACTAAAATTAATATTTTAAGAAAATAGAGGAAAAATCAGACAAAATAGGTGGAAATAGGCAAAATTTTAATAGCGAATTGGAATCTATAAAAAAGAATCAATTGGGCTGGCTGGTTAGCACAGTGATTAGAGCTGATAATACCAAAGTCCAGGGTTTGATCTCTGTACTGGCCAGCTGCCAAAAATAAAAAAGAGAGAGAATCAAGCCAGCCTGTGGCTCACTTGGGAGAGTGTGGTGCTGATAACACCAAGGCCACGGGTTCAGATCCCTATATAAGGATGGCCTGTTAGCTCACTTGGGAGAGCGTGGTGCTGACAACACCAAGTCAAGGGTTAAGATCCCCTTACCGGTCAGAAAGAAAAAGAATCAATCTAATACTGAAAAATACACATGTGAAATTAATAACTAATTTCATGGATTGAAAAAAAAAGAATCAATCTAATACTGAAAAATACACATGTGAAATTAATAACTAATTTCATGGATTTAACAGCAGATTTTATACAGTGAAGACAACGTTAGGAGACTCAAATACAATGCAGTTAGAAATATCCAAACTGAAGCATTTAGAGAAAATACAATGGAAAGAACAGGGCAGGAAAGATATGTGGGACACAGTCAAAAGGTCTAACATAAATGTAATTGGAGACCCAGAAAGAGAGTAAAGAGATATTGGGTCAGAGCAATATCTGAAAAGATAGTGGCCAAGAATTTTCCAAATTGATGAAAGATATCAACCCACAGATTCAGAACCCCAAGCAGTATAAAGACAAAGAAAACCACATTTAAGCAAACTTCTTAGTCAAATTATTAAAAACTGAATACAATTAATATCTGGCCTTCAGTTTTCCTAAATATAAGGATTACAGATAATTTCTTGGAAACCTTTTCTCTCCAACAAAAAAATCAGGACACACTAGTCTGACAAGTGTAAGTGTTTTTATGAGCACAGGCTTTTCCCAAATATAAGGATTACAGATAATTTCTTGGAAACCTTTTTTCTCCAACAAAAAAATCAGGACACACTAGTCTGACAAGTGTAAGTGTTTTTATGAGCACAGGGTAGCAGAATATTTCAAATTGAAAGTACCCTGGAAAAATGTGTTGAAAGCTTTTTCTTCATTCTAGTCCCTACTCAATGGTGAAATAAATTGATTTAGAAGAAATTGTGATAATTTTTCTTTTATGTGACCTGGTCCCTGCCTACTTCCAGTTTTATCTTGGGCTGTTCTTTTTCTTTAATGTCTATGATTCAATCTCACTGGTTTCTACTTCTAAAACAAGCTATGTCCCTCTGTCCCAGGTTCTCACACATGATCTTTCCTCTGTCTAGAATGGTCTTTCTAATCCACATCTATCCCCACCCTGACTCCTTTGCCATGTTAAATAATATTCTTCCTTCCAGTCTTCAATTAAAGGTCACTTTATAGAAAGCATTTCCTGATGCTCCAGGGTAAATGACCATTTCCCTGTTATATGTTCTCATATACACTGATATTTTTTTCATAGCACTTATCACAGTTGGTAATTATACATTTATTTTTGGTTATGAGTCACATATGGCTCAATAACTACATACTAATTTTCATGAGGGCAGAAACAGTATCAATTTTGTTTACAACTGTATACACAATCTCTAGCATAGAACTTGACACATAGTAAGTACTCACTAAATGTTTTCTGAATAAATGACCAAATGAATGGAAAAACATACAGAGGAAAGATGAGTTGTAATATTGGGTAACTACTGGAATGCTTCATCGTACTGAGTCAATTTAAATTGCTCCCTAGATTTTTTTACAGTACCAGAAAGCAGTCTGCATTGCCAGTTCTCACTTTTAATTTTCCTTGCAGCAGTGAGGCAGCTCTCTTTACTGTCAAGTAAATGCCAACCTGTCCTTGGTCTGGAGATAATTTAAGGCTAAAGAAATCCTTTTCATGGTTATGAATTCTAAAAACAGCTAGTAATGAGAGAAATAAATGGTTTTTCTGTTTGGCTAAGTAGTAAAAGTGGAATTCAACATGAAGGACTGTAAATACTTTATTTAAAACTTCAAGCTTTATATACAATCGGTTTTTCCTTTTATCTCAAATAAGATTTTTTTCCAACAGTGCTGTGATACCATTGCCCCCTGGTGGCCACTTACTATATTTTCACAGTCCTCATTTTCCCCCCATCTAGTCTTAGATTGAAGTAGATTTTCAAAGTCCTTGAGGTAAAATATACTGGGAAAAACATTTTGGAAAGGAATTTGACAGAATATACCAGAAGTCTAAAAAATACTTCTTTGATCTAGTAATTATGTTTCCAGGAATCTATTCTGAGGAAATCTAAATTCATAAAAAGCTTTATGTTTAAAGGTGCTCACCAAAGTGGTAGTTATAATCCTAAAAATTAGACAACCCAATTTATAATAATAAGGAATTAAGTAACAGTGTTGTCTAAATAATATATGATTAAGAACACAGAAAATCAAATCTTGACTTTACATTGGACAAGTTACTTAATCTTTTTCTTCATCTATACATTTGGAATAGTAACAGTAACTGCCTAATGGGTTGTTATGAAGAATAAACACAATATATTTTTACAGCCCTAATACAGGGCCTGAATCATTATAAGCAATCAGCAAATGGTAACTATTATTATGTTGTCATTAAAATGTCTTAAAGAATTGCTCTAGATAGATTGCAAAAGAAAAAAATATTTTAAAGAATGATATATAAAAACAAGAGAAAGTAAAAGAGGTAGGGTATAAAATGATACATGCCATATAATTAGACTATCTAAAAAATAAAACCCAAATCTCTATAAATAAGGAAAGATTTCAAGGAAAAATATTCAAAATCTTAATGAGAGATTTCTTAGGGTGATTTATTTTTCTTTCTATGCCTGTAATTGTCTTTCTTTCTTTCTTTCTTTTTTTTTAACATTTACTTGTACATGTTGTTTCAATACATGCATGTACTGCACGATGATTCACTTAGGGTAGATAAGCATAGTTTTGTACCCATTAGTCCACCACTTCTCCTCCCCCTGACTCCCTCTCCTCCTGGCCTCTGGTAACTGTTATTCTACTTTTTACTTCTATGAGAACCACTTTTTTTTTTTTTTTTAAGATTCCACATATGAGTGAGATTATGTGGTATTTGTCTCTCTGTGCCTGACTTACTTCATTTAACATGATGGTTTCTAATTCCATCTATTTTGCTGCAAATGATAGGATATCATTTCTTTCTATAGCTGGATAGTATTCCATTGTGTATATATACCACAGTTTTTTTTTTTTTTTAATCCATTCATCTGTTGAGGGGCATTTAAATTGATTCCAACTTGGCTATACTACTCCTGTATTTTTCTAGATTTTCTTTATTGAGCATGTGTTTCCCTTAAAATGGAGGTGAATTTTTTTATCATATAGTATACTTCTTTTTAAGAATTCAAGGCATGTTATGTAGTCAAAGTGTCCCGTGGTGAGTAACTTGACCTCAGCAGCTTGACTAAGTTGACGACTCCTGTACTCCTCAGTGACTTTCTCCACTTCAGGATATCACACTTTCCTGGTTTTCTTCTTATATAATTAGCTTTCCCTGCACAGTCAGCTCTGATAGATCTTCCTCAGCTCAACTATAGGCACTGGAGTGCCTCAGAGCTCAGAGCTTGACAAGTTTGTCTTCTCCATTAATACTTTCTCCCTAAGTGATCTCATTCAGTCCCCTGAATTTAATTTAAATGTCATCTATATATGTGCTTATTATCATATTTACATTTCTCCTTTTATCTCCACACTCAAATATCTAACAGACCACTTGACATTTTACTTCAATGCTTTAATTGGCATTTTAATCCTAACACATCCAAAACAACTGTTTATTTTACCTATAAGCTAAGCCTGTTCTACCTCTTATGTTCTTCATTTTGGTAATTGCCATTATTTACCAAGTTGCTTAGTCCCAACGCCTAGGAGTCATGTTTTATTCCTCTCTTTTTCTTACTGCAAAATCCAGTCCTTCTGCAAGTTCTATTTAGCCCTATCCTCAAAAGGTACCCTGAATCTGACCACTGTTCATGACCTTTGTTGCATCATCCTTGTCCAAGCCTCTATTATCTCTTTGAACTATTTTGGTACTCTCTTATCTGGTCTGTCTTCCTTCTCTCTTGTTGCCACATTTCCCAACTCCCCACTCCACCACAGTCTAGTCTCCACATAACAACGAGAGTGATCTTTTTAAAATGTAAAACCAGATCATGTCATTTTTGTGCTTAAGCTCTTCGGTGGCTTCCATCCATCTTGGAATAAAATTCAGGCTTCTTCCCATGGCCTACATGATTTTACATTTTTTGGCCCCTGCCTTTTTCTCTGACCTTATCTTCTGTTACTCTCTCCTTGTTTACTTAGACCCCATACTGGCCTTCTTTCAGTTTGCAGGTTAAAGTTTGCCTTCTGTTTTATAGAGAGGATAAGTCATTTCTTCCTACAACAAAGTACATTGCTGTGTTTCTGACAGGTTTATAAATTGTGAAATGGTAAAATAAAAAAGGAAATAAGGAAAAGGCTTTTTACAGGTGACAATTTATGTTTCAAAGTTTCGTCCCTGAATTTGGTTTGTAAGGAGCCCTACATTCCTATCTTTGACCAGTTATTTTCTTGGTTACCTCTACCAGACTTTTGAGATGCTTAGCCAAGAAGCGTGAAATCATGTCCAAGAAACCCTCATTTATTTTTTCTTTCTTTTTTTTTTTTTTGGCGATCCACCCTTTGGCCATCTTTCAGCAAAGAGAATGTGAATTTTAAGTGAATGTGAATGTGTTATTATATTTAGGGTTGTTCCAGGCAGAGCATAATAAACAATGTTAAACTTCAACTAATTTTTAACGTCATTTATCATAAAAGAAAGATCCTCAAATTTTAGATTTAAGGGAAACTTAGATCTCATCTAATTTAGCTTTTTAAATTTATAGATGAGGAAAATAAAGTATAAGGAAAGTATATTCTATGGAATACTCTTTCACTTTTTGAAAATTTATATTACATTAAATCATTAATCAAAGAATTATTCTCCCATTTTACACATTAGAAAAGTGAAACTCAGAGAAGCTGTTTGCTTAAGGTCACATAGCTGGTGAGAGGTTTAGCTGGGAATGGAACTCAGATCTGAATTAAAACCCAGACTATTTTCCTTACCTTTCCTTTTTTTTTTGGCAGCTGGCCAGTATGGGGATCTGAACCCTTGATCTTGGTATTATAATACCTCACTCTAACCAACTGAGCTAACCGACCAGCCCTCATACCATTTCTCTTATGCTATGTTCTCAGAGAGGAGTAAACTATTAGAAAAGCAAATTCACATTATTAGTTTCTACCAAATGAGAGTATTTCAAAAAGTTTATGAAAAGATTTGTATTATCTTTCAATTCAAATTTCCCATGAACTTTTAAAACTACCCTTGTATATGGATTTTATTATATTATTATTATTTTTTATTATTATTATTATTTTTTGGAGGCTGGCCAGTACAGCAATCTGAACCCCTGATCTTGGTGTTATAACCCATGCTCTAACTGACTGTGAGTGTGGATTTTAAAGGTTATCATTTATATTTTTACTATAAAGATTAGTCATCTTCAAGTTTCTTCATGAAATGTTTTAAAATTGCTTGAATTCTTGAAACATTTTATAGTGTGCATATGATATATTTTACAATGTGTTAATTTTGTAATGAGAAAAAAATCAAGATACTAAAAATAAAAGTGATACATGCAAACAAGAGACAATTTGAAAATTAGAGGGGAAAAGAACAGTAAAAGGACCATTGCCCTTCACAACTATTGTTAACATTCTGGTGTATTTTTGTCTGGCCTGTCTTTAATAATTTTTTTTTCTGTATAGCTGTACTCCAGGTACATGCTGTCTGTCTTTAAAGAAATGTAAAAAGTGATGAGAATTTAAGAACTGATGAGTTTCATTTTTATATTTGCTTTTGTTTTTACTTTTGAGGCAGCATATTTACCATGTGGGTTATTACTATTATTTTTTCTCATTGACTTCTCATTGCAGGGTATGGCATAAAACAAATAGAAATAAGAAACTTTTCTGGAAAAAAACTTAAAAGATTCTAATATAAATGGTTTGAGAGTAAAATTATATTGTGATAGTCACAATTGCCATTTTTTAATAAGAGGAGCAGAATGACCTTCTGTCACATTAGTCATACACAGAGGACTTATTATTAGATCACATCTTACCCCAGACATTCAATTTTGTTACAGAACTATTAGCTTTCTTGAGGTATTTTTATATTAAAGTTTAGCACTTTATCAGAACTTTTTCTCTTAAAAATTCTTTCCGTTGAACATTTTTTAATAGGAGGAAAGCAGGTAGACAGATTTTACACATGATGCAGATTTTGAAACTTTTCCAATCTGCAGAAAACTTTGACATTTAAAATTGTTTTGTTTTTAGAGTCATAGTCCACAGTTTCCTAGTCTGTATTTTTTAGCTATTTTTATTGCCACAAAGATACATAGCTAAAGAGGGATCAGGGTATAAGAAGATTGGGAAAAAAACCAGTACCTAAAGTGTTTACCACTGTATGCATCTATACTGCTTCATTATACATGTGAAAAATATCATTAACACTATCAGGTCTTTAAAAATTATATGATTTAAAGAAATGATATTTATATGCAATTTGGTTTAATTCAAAGTTTAGTGTCCAGATGATAAACTTTTGAAGATGTCTTTCCCAATAAGTTAATGAAATTTGGAGGAATTCTGCTATAAGTACTTAAGAATTGAAATTTAGCATGTATGTTAACAATGTTTTCATTCTTTTTGTTTTTCAAATCTTGCTCCAGTTGTTAGACCATTTTATCTCATAGCCTCATTTTTTTTTCCTTTTTAAAAAATAAATATTTCACTAGTAAGGAAAATAAATCATATAAGACTGTTTATGAATAATTTTAGAATTGAACTATGTTTAGCTTACCTTATAAAATTTCATCATCTTTCTAGATTTCTATGTAGAGCTTATTCACTTATTTCTGTAATAGTAGTTCAAAGTGTCCCTTTGAATCTCTGTGGTCCCCCTAAAGAAGGTTTGTAAATTGTACTGCACTTTCTTATTCCCTGTTTTCAAATATTACGCTGCTTCAGTGTCTGTGGAACAACTTTACTAATAGAGTATCAAAGGAATATTATTACAAAACACATACCTCCTTCCTTTTCATTTTCTTTATTAATTGTTTTTATTTTTATTTTAAATTTTTATATATAAAAACCTATGGAGAATATTATAACAAATGCCCATGTACCCATACCCCAAACTAATAAATATTAACATTTTGGCATTTTTCTTAGTATTTATAAGTATGTGTATATAGTTGTACATTTGAAATAGGATATTTCAAATATATAACTTTATATTTGTTTTCTTCCCTAGTTCTGTTTTTCTCCCTCCCTCCATGAAGACAAGCAGAGCACAAAAAACCTATACCCTCTCAGTCCGCATTTTAATTCTTACTATATGTGTATGTGTCCATATGGTTAGTGTATTATGTATCCATTTGCTTAGCGAGGTTTTTAAACTCTTGCAAAATAAATATTCTCCATCTGCATGTATCATTTCTGCAATTTGCTTTTTCAACCAATGTTGTTTTTAAGATTTATGCATGTACATGCATATAGGTTCAGTTCACTTACTTAACTACAGTATTCAACTATAAAAATTACACTATTTATCTATTCTTCTATTAGTAGGTATTTAGATTGTTTTTATTTTTTCTTTGCACATAGTTGGCTGGCTTTTGGCATGTGGTCAATCAACCAACGAGGGCTTATTGCAACTCTAATCATGTACCCAGTCTTTCCCTGAAGAGTTTACAATCTATCAGGGGACACAGAATTAGTAGACATGGACAGTGTAGAAATAAGATGAAATAGAAACTGAACTGTATGTAATCCCTATTACTTTTTCTTTTTTTGGTTTACTCTTATGGTCTTTTTGTTGCAGGCATAATTTTTGAAAGTTACTGTGCTTTCAGAGTAAATCTTTAACTTTTAAAAATAATTTGCTTCTTTTAGGTGCTTGTTTAAACTGCCAGAAAAATAGCAAGGGAGGTCACTGTGAAGAATGCAAAGAAGGATTTTATCAGAGTCCTGATGCTACTAAAGAATGTCTTCGCTGCCCTTGTTCAGCAGTGACATCTACAGGCAGTTGCACGATAAGTAAGGCCTTTCTCTAAATCTTCATTTTAGAGGAAAAAATAAATAAATCAGTGCATCAGTTATCCATAGGTATAAATTGCATTGATTAATAAAGTTCTGAATATTGCACTTAAAAGGTAGTTATAACAACGGCAAAATTTTTCCTTTCTAACTTTCTAAGAAAGTTTTCCTTTTTTGTTCAGCTTCTAGTTATTCCTAGGAATTTACAATCTAAACCCAATACATATGTGAAATGAGACTTAAAATGCCTAAAAAGCAGCCTAATGAGTTAATACAGGAACTTAAGACTGAGCAACTTTTGCTCACCTATTTCAAGGTAACATTCACTAATTAGTTCTTCTAAGGGACTTAATGCTGACTAATTGTGTCTATATAGTAATATTACAAATATAGTTAGTGCTCATTTATTCCTGTTGTATTAGTTATCTAATGCTACATATCTTATTACCATAAAATTTAGTGGCTTAAAACAATGATCATTTATTATCTCACATAGTTTCTGTTAGGAACTTGAGAGAAGTTTAGCTGGGTGTTTCTGGTATGTAGTCTTCTCTCCTTCCCTGTCTTTTTAAATAACAGCTTTATTGAGATATAATTCAGATTCCATACAATTTATTTAAAATGTATGATTCAGTGGTTTTTAGTATATATTCACGTTGTTGTGCAATCATAATCAAAATCAATTTTAGGACATTTTCAACACTGCCCCCACCAAAAAACAAACAAACAAAATGACCCTGTAACCATTGGCAATCATTCCCTTTTGCTACAGCCTTAGACAACCACTAACCTACTTTTTCTTCTCTGTGGATTTGCCTATTCTGAACATTTTATTTTAATGAAATCATACAATATATGGCCTTTTGTGTCTGGCTTCTTTCACTTGGCATAATATTTTCAAAGTTCGTCCGTGTTGTAACATGTATCAATACTTCATTCCTTTTTATTGTCAAATAATATTCCATTATATGGGATATGCCACATTTTATTTATTCATTCATCAGTTGATGGACATTTGGATTGTTGCTACTTTTGGCTATTATAAATAATTCTACTGTGAACATTTGTGTACATGTTTTCGTGCACACATGTTTTCCATTTCTCTTGGGTATATACCTAAGAGTGGAATTGCTAAGTCATATTGTAATTCTGCTTAACCTTTAGAGGAACTGTCAGACTATTTTCCAAAATGACTAGACCATTTTACATTCTCATTTTCATCAACATTGTGTGAGGGTTCCAAATTCTCCATGGCCTCATCAGCACTTATATGTCTTTTTATAATTATAGCCATCCTAGTGGGTGTGAAATAGTATTGAATTGTAGTTTTAATTTGCATGCCCCTGATGGCTAATTTTGTGTTTCTTGGCCATTGGTATATCTTCTTTAGAGAAATGTTTATTCAGATCCTTTGCCCATTTTAAAATTGGATTATTTATCTTTTTATCATTGAGTTAAAATTGTTCTTTATATATTCTAGATACAAGTCCCTTATCAGATATGTAACTTGTAAATATTTTCTCCTATTCTGTGGTTTAATTTTTCACTTTCTTGATTGTGACCTTTTCTTTTTTTTTTTGTCTTTTTCCGTGTCCGGCAACGGATTGCAACCCTCAGTGTTGCCCCCGTACCGGACCGGGGACCGGCAACGGGATTGCAACCCTCGGCGTTGCCCCCGTGCCTCGCTCAGCCAGCGAGCGGGAACCGGTCTGCATGTGGGATCCGAACCCTCGGGTGGGAGCGCCGCCGCGCTTCCCAAGCGGCGCACTATCCAGTGCGCCACCGGGCCGGCCCGATTGTGACCTTTTCAGTATATGAGTTTTTAATTTCAATGTAATTCAGTTTATTTATATTTTTCTTTTGTTGTTTGGGTTGGCTTGGGATTTTTCATGAGGTTGCAATCAGGATGTTAGTCAGGGCTACAGTCAGTCATCTAAAGGCTTAATTGGGGCTGTAGAACATGCTTCCAAGATGGCTTACTCATATGGCTTGCTAGAGACAGAAGGCCTCTATTCCTCACCACATGGACCTCTTCTTAGAGCTACTTGAATGTTCTTACAACATGGCAGCTGGCTTCCCCTAAGAGTGAGTGATCTAAGAGAGAGTAAGATGGAAGCCGCAATGTATTTTGAAACCTAGTCTTTGAAATCATAGAATGCCATTTTTGCAATGTCCTATTGGTCATACATATCTACCCTATTAAGTGTGGGAGGGGACTGCACAAGGGTGTGAATACCAGGAAACAGGGATCATCAGGGGCCATCTTGAAAGTTGGTCACCATACCTCGTAATGGGAACCGATGCATCACTCTTTTCATGGAATGGTCTAATAGATTCTTTCATATTCCACAAATAGTTATTGAGCACCTCATGTGTGCTTGTCATTGTATTAGACACTAGACACAGGATGTAAAGATATGCAAAATAAAATATGATCTTTGTTCTAAAGTAGATTGCAGTCTAATAGAGAAAGGAAAACACATATATAAAGCATTAAAAGTAGGAAATATATTCATAGGCTATAGTAGGGCACAAAGGGAGGGTGTCCATTGTATATGGGAATGAATGTCAGGAAATTTTCCATAAAAGAGGTGACGAGGCTTCTGGTCAAGATGGCAGAAGAGACGGTCCCCAGCATCACTCTCTCCCACAAATCAACCAATTTACAACTGTAAAAAAGCAACAACAGCCAAGCTGGGGCTACTAGAGCTCAGGGGAAGAGGAGGAGAGACCTACAGAGTTCATGAAGGCAGGAGAAGCCACGATGAGAGAAAGAAAGGATCGCTGCTACCATTTCGAGTCCTGGCCATTTCAAGGCTGGAGCTGGTGAGTGCTTGGAGCAAAAGGTGGCAAAAACTGCATCTGTGCCCTTCTTATGAAGTCGCTTGGAGGTGGCAGAGGAGAAGAGGTCCTTGGTGACCCTCAGGCCAGCAAGGCCACTAACAGTGTTCCCGTGGCCCACACAAAAGTGAGGAACCACAGACAACTGAAAAAAGGAGCCACTCATAGGCTGGTGAGCCATCACAAGGGACTGTCCCATGGGAAATGATTGGAGTGCAGACAGTGGGAGAGACCAGCCACCAGGGGAACATTGGGGCAAAGCATGGACAGCTGATCTGCCCCCTATTCAGCACAGGACCACTCAGTGGAGACTGGTCAGGAATATAGAACTGCAGGGGGAGCAGTTTTCTGAAGTGACTCAGGCCCAGACCAGAGTTTCTACATAACCAAGGTGTACTGGATCTCACAAGACCCAGAAGTACCTACAAAGTCAACCATTAAAACCTGAGCTGCACAAAAAACCTTCCCCAGGGAATCAGCAGCAAAGCAACAATTTAGCTCAATGACAGAGCTCAAGTACTGGTCCCCACAGGAAGTTCCTCATCTTTAGCAGTAAGCAAAGGACAACAAATTAGTTCTAGTGAAAAGTTTAAGTAGTGGAAACAGCAAATAATCCAACACAGAACTGAAAGAAAAAACAAAATACCCACAAACCAGAGACAAAGTTTGATATTAACTAGTGAAGATATCACTTCAGTAAAGAACACCTATAAAACCTAGAAGGACCAGAAGGTCCTTAGGCCCCCAAGCCAGGGAGTGGGAGGGCGGGGCCTCAGTCATGCCCCCTGACACCCACAACCAGCCAAGTGACAACCACCAAGCCACTGCTGGAAGCACCCTGGGCCCCTGAACCAGGATGGTGTGGGAACAAGTGCCTTGGCCATGCCCACCTGGTACCCGCACCCAGCCCAGTGGTGACCAAGCCACCACTGGAAGCCCCCTGGTCTCCCCTGTAGGAATGAGGGGGGGTGCCATGGGCCTCAATCACAACCCCCCTTCCTTCTTCCCCTACCCTATTTCCTTCCCCCTTTTCCTCTCCCTCTCCCACCCAATGGCTCCACAACAATATCTTAGAATGTAAAAACAGATGAAGCCAGGGACTGACCCATCCTCTCACATCCAGGCACACCTCTGCTGCCAATGGGCTTGCTTGGGGTCCTGAGGCATGAATCCAGGGACCAACCCCTTGTTCCACAACCAGGCAAGTGGCATGCCAAAAACACCACTTCCATGTGACCACAGCCATCACAATAGCCATGGCTGCCACAAAAACAGCTAGACACCACAATCACTGGTGCAGATGGCCCACCAGCCACTTGAGTGCATTGACACAAGGAGAGTCACCAGCAGAGACCAAAGAAAAGGAGAGGATGTCTTTCTGCACAAAGCCCTTTCCAGAGTGACAGAAGAAGCATCTACTCTACAATAATAGTGGGGGACCTGAACAAACCTCTCTCAGCACTGGCCAGATCATCTAGGCAACAAATCAACAGAGTAATTGTTACTCTTTCAGAAGGAGAGAAGAAATCTAGGGTTATCAGAGGTGGGAGGGGGAGGGAGAGGGAGATGGGAAGAGATAGGACAAGGGTCATAAAAAATAAGTACAATTTGTAATAATATATATACCAATAATATTGATTTGATCAACATACGTCAACGTTGAACCCCCAAAATATGTGCAATCAATTATGATTCAATTTTTAAAAAGGTGAAAACTGGAGATACTTACCTTATTAATTATCACTGTATGTGTGGGTACATATTAACCATTTAGGATAAACTAGGAGTACTATCCAGAGTCAGGAATATAAACAGATTATATATTAACATTTGCTGTGATTTGAATGTTTGTCCCTTCCAAAACCTATTTTGAAATTTGATCCCCATTGTGGCAATATTGGGTGTCAAGGGGGTAGATCTTTTTTTTTTTTTTCCGTTAAATTTTTATTTTGTCAATATACAATGTATATGATTATTATGGCCCATCACCGACACCTCCCTCCCTCCTCCCTCTCTTCCCTCCCCCCCAAGAATGTCCTTTCCATTTGCTTGTTGTAACAACTTCATAAAAGTATAGTTGTTATATCTTCTTCCCCACCCCACCCCCCCCCTGGTTTTT